AAGATGAGGAAAATCAATGTGGCAGATATCTGCACCAAATTTAGTGAACTACCAAAATAAACTTCATGTTGTACTTAAAGTGTTTTGAATATCTCAGAACATCAACATTTCATGAAATAAAAGTAGTATACACCTGATTTTACTAGGTTAAGCTCTGGAGGGCACTATGCGAATTGTCCAGATCTGAGGGGAGAGAAAAATTCAATAACCTGAATGATATATTATTGGCTCTAAAAGTCATTTCTCTTACTTATTCTATTATCATGTAATTAATCCTAAAACAGGTGCTGATAATGCTTTCAGAGAACACTCACACATACACCTTGATTCTTGATTCTTGCACTTTCAGCAGATTTTCAGTATACAAATACAAAAGGCTTCCACTGTGTTCTCATAGTTGGTGGATACCTTTATTGTATCTAGTTTTGTAAAAACACATATGGGTGCTATTTCCTCCAAATTACCAATAATTATGCAACTACTGAGTACCACTGCCAATATGTATTTTTTATGATTAGATAAAAAGACCCAGAACGTGATTATGTCATACTGTTATGCCACTGAGTGTACAGTTTAGGGTTGGGAAGATCCCCTGGAGAAAGGATAGGCTACCACCTCCAGTATTCTTGGACTTTCCTGGTGGCTCAGATGGTAAAGAATCTGCCTGCAATGCAGAAGACCTGGGTTCAATCTCTGGGCTGGGAAGATCCCCTGGAGAAGGTAATGGCTACCCACTCCAGTATTCTTGCCTGGAAAATTCTATGGACAGAGAAGCCTGGCGGGCTTCAGTCCATGAGGTCATAAAGAGTCAGACACGATTGAGCAACTTTCACACTTCACTTCACATACAGTTTAGGGGGTGCTGGTGGAACAGATTTGAAAGATTTAAAACCAGTTCTTCTTGGATAAATAGAGATAATTGATTTTTAATGACCCTTGCAGTAAATCCAATAAAAACCCACCATTTCATTTATTCATTAAACGATTACTATTGAGCACCTACTATATGCTAGAATATATATATATATATATATATATATATATATATATATTTTCCCTGTAGTGGAGGTCAGTGGGAATTACATGTTTCACTTATTTAAGTGCCTTTCACATATAACAGTTATGAAAAAAGTATAGGAAACAATAAAGAAAAATAAATTTCTACTCTTAAAAGGCTTATAGTCTAGCCACTAATTTAAGTGGCTCTTAACAAGGAGTAAGTTTGACTCCCAGGGAACATCTGTCAATGTCTAGAGATATTTTTGGTTGTTACAACTGGGAGGGCATCTAGTTGATAAAGGCCAGGAATGTTTCTAAACATCCTCCAGTGCACAAGACATTCTCAACAGTTTTCTGGTCCCAAATGTCAAGACTCTTCAGGCTGAGAAACCCTGAGTTAGGGAGATGAGCTACATACATTAGAAGTTTTGATTTTAGTGGGATAAATTGAGAGAGTAGCATTAACGTATATACACTACCATGTACAAAATACATAGCTAGTGTGAAGCTTCTGTAAAGCACAGGGAGCTCACCTCAATGCGCTGTGATGACCTAGATGGGTACGATGGGTTGGGGGGTTGGAGGAAGGCTCAAGAGGGAGGAGATATATGTATACACATAGCTGATGCACATTGTTGTAAAGCAGAAGCTAACACAACATTGTAAAGCAATGATACTCCAATTATTGTAAAGCAATGATACTCCAATTAAAAATTTTTAAAACTGCAAAGCAAAACAAGATGAAAATATTAAAATAAGTTTTGTTTTCGATTCCAAGGTCTTAGATAATATAATTTAAATGAGTGACACATACAAGGTGATACAGATAAGAAAAAGATCATCCTAGAGTAAATTGATTATGGGAGGCTTCATGAAGGAAGTGGGGTCAAGATGAAGTGTTAGGTCACTCTTCTGCTCAACAGAGAGGAAAGTGTAAGGGCTCTGCTACTTCTCTTGACTTTCTCTCCTACAATTCTTCTTCTCATCCCTCCACCCCAGTCAACTGGATTTTTGCATTTCCTTTAAGATATCAAGAAGGCTCTAGGTTCCTCCACCTCATTAGCCCTGATGGGCTGCAGTCCATGGGGTTGCAAAGAGTTGGACACAACTGAGCAATTAATTATGCATGCACACATAGTAGTTTTCCTAGTTTTTAAAGGAATCTCCATACTCTTCTCCATAGCGATTGTATCAGTTTGCATTCCCACCAACAATGTAAGAGGGTTCCCTTTTCTCCACACCCTCTCCAGCATTTATTGTTTGTAGACTTTTTGATGATGGCCATTCTGACCTGTGTGAAATAATACCTCATTGTGGTTTTGATTTGCATTTCTCTAATAAAGAGCAATGTTGAGCATTTCTTCATGTGTTTATTTTTGGAGAAATGTCTGTTTAGGTCTTCTGCCCTATAATACAGATTGAAGTAAGTCAGAATGAGAAAGACAAATATAGGACATTTATACATATATATATGTATATATATATATAGTATCTAGAAAGATGGTATCAATGATCTGACATACAGGGCAGCAAAGGAGACACAGATGTAAAGAACAGACTTTTGGACTCAGTGGGATAAGGAAAGGGTGGGATGATTTGAAAGAATAGCATTGAAACATAGACATTACCATATGTAAAATAGATAGCCAGTGGGAGTTTGATGTATGACACAGGACACCCAAAGTGGGGAGGAAGGTGGGAGGTGGTTCAGGATGGAGGGGACACACGTATACCTATGGCCAATTCATGTTGATATATGACAAAAACCATCACAATATTGTAATTATCCTCCAATCAAAATAAATAAATAAAAATTTAAAAAAGATATCAAGAATGCTTCTCTCTCACAGAATCTATTTTTCCTGTTCCCTCCAATTTCAGTGTCTCTTCCCAAGAAGTCCACACACTCACTCCCTCACTTCTTGCAGGTCTCTGCTCTGTTCAATTTCTGAATAGAAAACCCTCCCTTAATCATACTGTATTAATACACATTAACTCCTGGCCCCTCTCCTCACTTTCCCCTTAATACGTTTTTTGGTCTCAAAGGCAAGGCTGCAACTGGTCTAGAGCAGACACTCAATAAATACATGTAGAATTAGTGAATTGGTTAAATATTAATAATGGTAGTGTACTTCAGCCCAAGCAGTGAGAAGCCTGAGTAAAGGAGCCTGACTACTGTTATCTCCAATGGTCTAGAACAGTGCCTGCCTTTTAGTAGGGACTTCATAGTGAATTAAGAATGATGAAATAGAAAGCCAAGGGAGATTAATATAATCAAGGCATGCTTATTTCTATCTTTGAAAATATTCTTGGACAATCACTACATTCTGTGTATACTGGCACATCTGGAGATATATAAATATATATAAATTTTGACTATTCTTCTCAGTGTTTTCACATTACATTCATTCCCTATACATTCCTTGTAGTTTAGAAATGCAGCTTCTGAAATTCTATATCCTGCCTGTATTTTAAGCCAGATATTGTATAAAACATAAGTATATTTTAAGAATTGTAAACTAAAGGCAGCCCGTCACAAGCCAGTTCTATAGTTTTCTGTCTCCATTTGCACTTAATCATAAATTCACCCAACCTGCACTCAGTGAGCCACTACAACTATGTGAACGCTAATAGCAAGAGCAGCTAATGTCTACGGAGGATTTTCTGCACCAGGAACTGTCCTAAAGGCTGTGCATACTTTATCCAGTTTTGTTCATACTACCAAAAGCCCGGGGTTCTCAGGTGGCACTAGTGGTAAAGAACCTGCCTGCCAATGCAGGAGACGTTAGAAACATGGGTTCAATCCCTGGGTCAGGAAGATCCCCTGGAGGAGGGTATGACAACCCACTCCAGTATTCTTGGCTGAGAAGCCCAAGGGCAGAGGAGTCTGGCGGGCTACAGCCCACAGGCTGGCAAAGAGTAGGACACGACTAAAGTAACTTAACACTCATGCAAGCAATATACGTGAACGTGATAACATGGGTCTCCTGTGTACCTGCGTGCTAAGTCGCTTCAGTCCTGTCCGACTCTTTGTGACCCTATAGGCAAGAATACCGGAGAATGCAAAGGCACCCCACTCCACTACTCTTGCCTGGAAAATCCCCTGGACGGAGGAGGCTGGTAGGCTGCAGTCCATAGGGTCGCCAAGAGTCGGAAACGACTGAGCGACTTCACTTTCACTTTTCACTTTCATGAATTGGAGAAGGAAATGGCAACCCACTCCAGTGTTCTTGCCCGGAGAATCCCAGGGACGGCAAAGCCTGGTGGGCTGCCATCTATGGGGTCGCACAGAGTCGGACACGACTAAAGCGACTTAGCAGCAGCAGCAGCAGCAGCAGCAGGCAAGAATACTGGAGTGGGTTACCATGCCTTTCTCCAGGGGATCTTCCCGAGCCAGGGGTCGAACCCGCATCTCTTACGTCTCCTGCAGTGGCAGGCGGGTTCTTTACCACTAGCGCCACCTGAGAAGCCCCCGTTTCCTGTCTGTCGCTGGCCCAAGGGGACTTCCCTGGTGGCTCAGATGGTAAAGATTCTGCCACAGGCCCCGCCCCCCAAACACTGAGCTTTGACTACTTGCTTCTGGCTTCCAGCCAGGTTCTCTTCACCATAGCGTCTCGGCACCCTCCCTACTAGAAGAGTCACGAGGGCTCCTCCCCTCCCTCTGGGTATTTAGCTTTGGAAACCATGGCGACCAGCGCTTTTCCCGCTTCTCCAATCCGGGCATCCCAGCCGGCTCTAAATTAGAGAACCCGCCGCGCAACCACGTATGTTACTGCCTAGTAATAGTTCCTGGGATACAGAAGCCCGCCTGGCGAGGGGCAGGGCCAGAGAGCCGAAGCACACACGCGTAAGGTCTTTGTAGCTTCGCGACGGGGTGGAGCCTTACCAGCCCCCTGGGGCCGAGTAACGTTTACGGCTCGGGCGCGCGGTTTCTTATTCTTTTAGCTTCGGACCTGGCAAGCTGACTTTTTAAAGCTAAGAGGGTACGCAGTCACTCCGCAATGTCTGGTGAATCGGGTCAGCCTCAGGCTGGCCCATCCCAGGCTGGGGTCGATATGCTGCACCCTGAGAGAAATCAGACTCGGGTCCCGGGAGGTGTGATCCGAAGGGTCGATGCCTTAGGGCGCCAGTCCTGGATCCAAAAGGTTCTTGAGCAAGTAATAGACTCACCTCGCCAGTGGGTCACCCCATCGGAGGTGGTTCCTGTCGCAGTTTTGGCCGTCCAGAGATACCTGTTAGAGGATGAGCCATGCGACATGGAACCTAAACCTCCGCTTTACTGCTTTGATGTGACAATCTCAGACGGGGTGTACCAGGAGAAGTGCTACCTGGACCCCAGCCTGAATTCTCTCGTGTATAAAAATATTCTCAAAGTTGGCATAGAAATGAGAATTTCCAGAGTCTCGTGCATTTATAACGAGAAAAGAGTAGGCCAGGGAATCTTGTGCATAGATAACGTTCTCTGTGGGGAGTTGCTGGAATCTGTTTCTCTAGAAACTCCCTTCAGAAATAGTGCGCACCAAGAGGTCCCCGAGAGACCTTTAAGAGGTGGAAAAAGTCATTACCTGCCCCTGTGGAATAACGAAGATCCGTATGGAGATATCTGGCTAAACAATAAGCAACCAGAGGAGCACAATTTTAACAGTAAGTAACTGAAGGGAACGCCAGAGGGGTTAAAAAATAGTTTTTAGGAATTCGCTTTAATGGAAAAGGAAACGAAGGTGTTTGGTTCTTGTTAATTATAAGCCAGGAGTGGTAAGAGACAAGCTTTGCAGGATGACGGAGAGACGGTCGCTTAATGAAATTTGCACAGCTTGTGTCTTGGGTTGATTGTAAAAAGGGGCCATTTCGGCAAGTGTCTCGCATGCGGTTTAAATTTAATCTGACAGACATAGTCTCCTTGCAGTCAGTGTTCCTCATGTGTTTGTTATATGTTTGACGGAGTGAAATTCATTTTAGTTCTATTCCCATTCCAGTCGTGGAAGTAGTACTTTCTGTGTTGGTTGGAAAGATTTGAATTCGGGATAAAAGTTGTAAAAATTTGGGGTTTGTCTTTTTTTGATTCAAAAAAGGATGTTCCGTGATTTATTCCTTATTTACATTTAATGAAATGCCATTTTTATACCGTTAACTGTAGCAGTTACGTAAATACTGTTTTTGGAATGTGTGATTTTTGTGGAAAAGCTTGAAATTCTCATTTTTGTGTTTATTACTTACCACGAAGAAAACTAATCTAAGTTGAGTTTCATAAGAAGGAAGTTAACCTGATAATGCTGGCTCCTTAGTCATCAGCCATTGCGCTAAAATACATTTTTATCTATAAGAGATGGAAATGAGCAGAATTATAGGTATGTAGGTATATGGAAAGGGGAAGAAATAAAGTGCAAAAAATAAAGGCGAAAGTACTGGAGCGATAAAGATAATTTTCTGCATTTAACTGCTTTTCAGTTTTTTTTTTCTTAACACTGCAGTAGTAATGCTATGATGTGTAACAGCAACAGACTTGAAAGTGAAAAGATAATTGGGACGAAAATATGCAATTAAAGTAATATCCAGTTATAAGAAAGAGAAGATGGCTGTAGAAATGTGTAGCTAAGGATGATTTAAAAAACTTAAACTTTAAAAACAAGATATTTCAGGGATGAAATAATGGAATGACTTTTTTTTAATCTCAAGCATGGAATAAGGCAGTAGTACATTACTACTCTGTTGAATATTATTTTTAGAATTGAATGTACAAATGAAAAATTGGTGCTCTGGAAGAACTGAGAATAATAATTTGTAAAAAGTTATTTCTCTGATTATGAAAGTAATATTTATTCATTATTTAAACCATATTTTTATTGCAAAAGCCAAGGTCCATGTGCTAAAAAATCCAGACTTTATATTTAAAAGTGCTCGGGGCTGGTGCACTGGGATGACCCAGAGGGATGGGATGGGGAGGGAGGTGGGAGGGGGGTTCAGGATCGGGAACACATGTAAATCCATGGCTGATTCATGTCAATGTATGGCAAAAACCACCACAATATTGTAAAGTAATTAGCCTCCAACTAATAAAAATAAAGGGAAAAAAATTTTTTAGTTAAAAAAATAAAAAATTTCCAGAAAGTTAAAGAAAAAAAAGTATATTGTATTAAAAGTGTAAGACCCAAGTACAGTAAAGTGCTAATGACAAATCTAGAAGTATTGGTGTTCTTTCAGGTTTGTTGTATGTTTGAAGTTTTTAATAATAAAACGTTTGGATGGAGTAAAAGACCCTTCTTACCTCCTCTTATGGCTTCAACTTTCCACTCAAAATGGGGAAAAATGATTATATTACATTTTATGATTTTTTTATTTCTACTTCTCTCAAGTGTCTTTAACATACATCTTTTTATACACTTTTCTATAGTGGGGGTGTACCATAATTTATATAATCATGCCCATTTTAATGGGTAATTTATAGTTTTAGGCAGTTATTAGTTTTTCAGTTTTAGATCCAGTGCTGAACCTCATTAGGATATGCCTGTGTTTGTTTACTATGTTCAAGTATTTCTGTTAAATGGATGGCTTCCTAGCCGTGAAATTACTGGGTTAAAGAGTATTTGAATTTTTAAATGAATATTGACAAAGTGGTTTCTGAAAAGGTGGGTTCTTGCCTGGAGAATCCCAGGGACGGGGGAGCCTGGTGGGCTGCCATCTATGGGGTCGCACAGAGTCGGACGACTGAAACGACTTAGCAGCAGCAGCAGCAGCAGCCACATATTTAGTAGAGTGGCCCATTTCCCCATTTTATACTATTGTTTTTAATTGCACGTTTTTTAAATTAATTTATAGGATTTCTTTGCTAAGGGCAGTAAGTTTTTACCTGCTGTATATTGCAAGTTATTTTCTCCCACTCTGTCCCTCTTAGATTTTGTTGTGTGATTTTGTGCTTTTTAAACTTTTCTATTCGGTATACTGTGTACACAGTAAAATAGAAAAATCTTAAAAATACAACTATATATATATATGTAACCATCCCCCTAGATCAAGATACAGAGCATTTCAGGAACCCCAAAAGTCTTCCTCTTCTGGTTCAGTACCCTATTCCAAAAGTAAACCATAATACTTAAGAGACAGCTTTTTAAAATGCGAGTTAGGAGAATTCCCTGGTAGTCTAGTTGCTAGGACGCCGCTTCCACTGTCCAGGTCCAGGGTTCCATCCCTGGTCAGGGACCTAAGATCCTAAAAGCGGAGGGTGCGGGCAAAAAAAAATGAAGTTAGACTGTGCCACTCTCCTGCTTAAACCCCTCCCCAGGGCTCCCCATTGCACTTAGACAAACATCTAGACCGCCTACCGGGATCCATGTGGCCCTATGGCGGATGCAAACTCTTTCTGTAAAGAGATAGTAAATCTTTTTGTCTTTTTGAGACCTATGGTTTCTGCTGCAGCTTTTAAACTTTGCCGTTGTTTATGGAAAGCAACACAGAAAATATGTAAATGTATGGGTTATTTTATTAACAGATCCTGGCAGCAGGCTGTATTTGTACTGAGGACCACAGTTTGCGGAGCCCTGATGTACACAACTGCAGCCTTCTTTACTGCTCTCCTCCGCCAGTTTGTTTCAGCATGCCGGCCGCCATTTTTTCCACCCCGCCCAGCAACCGACATTTTAATTTTTTTTTCCCCTGCCGTTTTCGGCTCAGACGGTTAAGAGTCTGCCTGCAATGCAGGAGACACAGGTTCAATCCATGGGTCAGGAAGATCTCCTGGAGGAACTGGCAACCCACTCCAGTATTCTAGCCTGGAGAATACCATGGACAGAGGAGCCTGGTGGGCTACACTCCATGGAGTCGCAAAGAGTCTGACACGACTGAGCGACTGAGCGACTAACACAATCTTTCAACATCCAAGCTTTATCCTGCTGCAGGGACTTTGTCCCTGCTTTTTCCTCTTTTTGGAAAGTTCCTTCCCATCCTCAGGTTTCAACTCAAATAAAACATTTAAAAAGGGTTATTTAAATATGTATTCCCCCCCAAAAATATGTATTCCCTCCCCTTTTATTGTTATTATGTGTGTGAGTCGCTCAGTCATGTCCAACTCTTTTGCAACCCCATGGGGTATAGCCTGCCAGTCTCTTGTCCATGGGATTCTCCAGGCAAGAATACTGGGGTCGGTAGCCATTTCCTTCTCCAGGGGATTTTCCTGACCCAGGGATCGAACCCTGGTATTCTGCAATGCAGGCGGACTCTTTACCGTCTGAGCCACCAGGGAAAGGAAAGAGTCCGCCTGCAATGCGGGAGATGCAAGAGATCTGGGTTCAATGCTTGGTTCGGGAAGATCCCCTGGAGAAGGAAATGGTTACCGACCCCAGTATTCTTGCTTGGAGAATCCCATAGACAGAGGAACCTGGAGGGCTACAGTCCACGGCATCACAAAGAGTGGGACACGACTGAACAACTAACACCTATTGTTATTACATCACTGTAACAGAATTGATAACACTCAGAAATTATTTTGTTTTCTTTCTCCTCCCTCTAATTTATAAGATCCTTGGGGGTAAGCACTCGTGGTTTTGTTTTGTTTTTTTCTCACTGCTGTGGTCTATTTTTCTTATAGCCAGGAAATGTGTGGCACATAGTAGGCAGTTGAGAAGTGTTCACTGAATAAAGGAATGAATGAAATAGATTACATTCATAGGTTTTCTGATGTTGAACCACTACTGTTTCTACTTGGTCATGCTTGTTATTGTTATATCTTTATATATTCAGGTGAATTTGATCCATAAGTTTTGTTAAATTTTAGGAAAGTACTATTTCAGATCAATTTTGATATATAATTAATATTAGTCTAATAGAATGAGTTAGGAAGCTTGCCTGTTTTTCTGCACTTAGAGAAATAACGTGTTCATTGAAGGTTTGGTGGAATTTACCCCTAAAACTACTTGAACGTGGGACTTTGGGTGAGCTTTGGGAGTTGGGAAAATGATTCCTTTTCAATTTTTGAGAAAGTAGTAAAACCAGTAATGCTTCTTTTGAGTGCATTTTTGAGAGTTGATATTTCACTAGAAAATCTCATTTCACCTAAATCTCAAAGTTGTACATAATCTACATGGTTTAATCTCTATCTTGTCAGTTACATCCCCTGATATGTTCCTAATGTTCAAGTCTTCACCCTTTTTTGTGATCAGCCTTGCCAGAGGTTTGTCTACTTTCTTGTTATTCAAAAATAAGACTTTTAGCTTTACTAATTTAAAGTCTGTATCAGGGAGATGTTTCTACTTTATTTGTACTGTCCTCTTTAATTATTTTTACGTCCTTTGTTCATTTTTTATTTTTATTTTTGGTAGTTCCTTCTAGAGTTAAATGCTTGGTTTATTTATTCCCTTCTTTATTTCTTCCAAAAGCTTTAACAGTTCTGAAATTTCACACAGTTACTGTTTTGGCTGTATACCCCAGGTTTTGAAGTATAGAGCTTTTATTATTACTCGTTACTCATATTTTCTGATTTTAAATTTGAGTTTCTGTTTACCCTGAAAAGTTTGTAAAAAGTTTACTTATTAGCTATGCAGTTCCTTGTTATACCAGGTTTTAAATTTTTTAATTAAAACATTCCATATCCTTATTTTAAAATCTATTTTATTTGCCCATTTCTTTGAGAAGAATGTTGACTTCTCTTTATGAAGGTGATTTTGTTCCTCTCTGCTTATATTTCTAAAAGATTTAGGTTTAGATGTTTCCATAATACGTAAAGTTTCATAACGAGTATATCTTGGTGGATTTTACTCTTTAACAGTATAGGATTTCTCTTAGTCCCTTTTTGCCTCAAATCATATTTTGTCTAATAGTACTGTTTACCACTTCCATGGTCTTTTAGTTAGCATTCAGAGCCATGATTCTCAAACCTAAGTGGGCATCCACATCACCTCAAAGTGAAAGTGAAAGTTGCTCAGTCGTGTCTGACTCTTTGCTACCCTATGGACTGACTATACAGTCCATGGAATTCTTCAGGCCAGAATACTGGAGTGGGTAGCTTTTCCCGTCTCCAGGAGATGTTCTCAACCCAGGGATCGGACCCAGGTCTCCCGCTTTACAAGAGGATTCTTTACCAGCTGAACCACAAGGGAAGGCCAAGAATACTGGAGTGGGTAGCCTATCCGTTCTCCAGCAGATCTTCACACTGCAGAACCCTGGTCTCCTGCATTGCAGGCAGATTCTTTACCAATGAGCTATGAGGGAAGCCATGTGACCTCAGAAATTCAGATTGCTGGATCCTGCCACCAGTTTATGATTCTCAGTACATCTGCCCTGGAATTTACATTTCTAACACATTGATTCTGCTGGTGCAAAGGCCACACTTTGATAACCACTGGCTTAGTGTATATTTCTTTGCTCATCACTTTATTTCCATTTTTTAAAAAATGGTTTTTGCCATACATTCACATGAATCAGCCATGGGTGTACATGTGTTCCCCATCCTGACCCTCCCTACCACCTCCCTCCCATCCCATCTCAGGGTCATCCCGCTGCACCAGCCCTGAGCACCCTGCCTCATGCATCAACCTGGACTGGCAATCTATTTCACATATAATAATATACATGTTTCAATGCTATTCTCTCAAATCATCCTTGTTTTAGGTTTCTCTGTATAGCTAAGATTTTTCTTTTTTACCCAAACAAATTCTTTTTCTTTCAAGAGATGAAGTTAATCAAGTTAAATTTTATGTAATTAATGATGGTTGTACCTATTCTTGCAGTCCTACTTTATTATATGCCATGCATTATTTTTTTAACTATTTGAAAACTTTTTTATCCTAGTGATTTAGGAGTAATGTATTTTTATTCTCTTCAACATTTTAGCATAATTATTTGAACTTGCATTTTATGTCAAGCTCCAGAATTATTTAGAGTTTATAATATTCTCCTGAACAAGACGTTTGGGACTCTACTTAATCATGATGCATTTTGGCATACTGCTACATTGGATTTAAAAGTATTTGATTTAGGATTTTGCCATCATAAATGTTTTGGATTTTTAGTTCTCTTTATTACATTTGTTATAGTTTTTAAGATTTATCTAAGTTTATCAAATGAATTGGTACAATTTTTATATTTACTGTGCTCTAAAACAACTGAAGAGAAAGCTATTCTTTAAAAATTGTTAACCATGTGAATCTGGTGCAGTTTGGAAGGTCATTATTAGGAACTTTTTCATTTTCTTCCATGGTTATTGATCTGTTCCAGTGTTCTTCTGTTCTGTAGGGCAACGATATTGGTAATTCATATGTTCTAGAAGATTGTCAGTTTCACTGCTGTTTTCATGTTTAGTGCTATATAATCATATAATCTTTAAAATGATTTTCTCTACGTTTATAGGTGATCACATTCTGGGTGTTATCTTTTTGTTTGCTTTCTTCCTGATTGCACTTATAAGGTTTTACCTTTTTATTAATTTTTCCAGGGAATTGGACTTACCAATCATACTGTTTTCTAATTCATTATTTTCGGTTTTTATCTTTATTCCTCTCTATATTCCTTAGATTTATTCTTTTGAAGCAGTTTTCAATGTAATAATAATAATAATATTAAGGTTTTATTTTCTTTTTTTAAACTCTCCTTCTGAAGTATAGAGTGGAGTTTTCCAGAGGCCGCATGTCAAGGACATTGAAACAGACTGAATAAATGCCAAAGAAAATATGATTTATCCAGCTGTATTCTTTTAAGCTAGATACTGAAGAGATCTGCAAAAATGTAAAACAATACCACTCTTCCCACTACATTTTTGGTTTTGAACAATGTAGTCATTTTTCAAAAATACATCTTTCTACTATGTATAAGAGATTTATTATTTTTGTTTTAAAGGAATTAATAAATATTTTTATTTCTTAGTTTCACCACATAATATGGTAAGTATTGGTAAATATTACCCACATAAACAGAAGCTTATTGAGGTCTTCAGTAATTTTTTAAGACTATAAGGCGGTCCTGCGACCACCAAGTTTGAAAAACACTATTGCATTGTTTACTAATTTTTTATATTGAATATGTAGTTTATTATTTTCATTCTTTCTTTTGATAAAGAATCCACTTATTTCTATGAATTTACATGGATTACCCATTGTCTTTGTATAACCTGTAATTTCTTTTTAGATTTGAGAGATATGTATATTCTATGAAGTTAATGAGGTTTTTTTGTTGTTGTTGTTATTTTTACCCAATCTGGGAAAACGTTCTCCAGGCAGATGTCTGATCATGGCTCTCTGGACTCAACTGTAGCAGAAATAGTAGCTCTTACAACTCTGGTTTTATAAAAGTGTGTAGCTTTTGAATTTATTCCACTTGTAAAGGAGGAGTATGTGCCTTCATTGGTCAAAAGTGTTCCACATACACTCTAGGTAATTCAGAGGTGAGCTATAATTTGTTTCACCATATTAAAAAGGAAATTACTAATTGTGTCAGATCAAATACTAGTCTCTGTGATCCTGGACTAGTAATGTTTTGGGAGAATCTGGAGGGAAATTTATACAAGATACCTAATACTGAAAATGGGGGTGGGTATTAATGGTAGTCTTGTAATTATAAAAGGCCATTTAAACTCTTACTGAAAACAAATTACAAGAATACTTTTAATACCAAAGTTGAGTTGGTGATACATTATATAAATAAAAATGGAAGTGGAGGATGCCTTAGAGAAATAAATGAAATGTTTGAACAAATACAAGTTCAGGTTTTAAAAGCTGGGACTGTAGGCTCTGAGAGCAAAATGTGGAAAAAATTACAGATGGAATCCCTCTTAGCCCAAGGAAGAATAAAATTAGAAATACAAATTAATCTTTTAAAGATGATGAATAGCTTTTAAACAGTTTTGGCACTTACCAACAGGCTTGGAGATTAAAACATTTCCAAATAAATTATATGGCATATAAAAATGTAATAAGTGCCATTGGTATGTAGAAAAATAAAATGGGATGGAGATAAGTAAGGGGATCAGTTTTCTACAGGGGGGTTAGAGCTAGCATCACTAAGAAAGTGACCTTTGAGCAAAACTTGAAGGAGAAAATGTCATTCAGATGTCTAAGAGAAAGACATTCCAGACCCAGGGAACAGCAAGTGCAAAGGTACAGACAGGACCATGTCTGGAATGTTTGGGGAAAATTGAACTTACACATATGAGACTAAGGTGAGGGCAATAAAGAAATATATCATGAAAATTCTATAAATTAAATATGTAAGTGCTTAGTAGTAAGAAAATAGTTCATGGTGTTGAGTTTTTTCTCAAGGAAGGTAAGTTTTGATCCAAGTCTTCTAGGAAGTAATTACACAGTTTGACAAGTTAGAGAGTATTACAGATGGACAATTCCAACCAAATGTATTAGTAACATAGGTATTTACCTATATTCCAGTCACATAGTAAATCATGGGTGTGTGTGTGTGTGTGTGTGTGTATCTAACCATTATTATTAAGGAAACTGTTTATTGCTAAGTTTTGTATGAGAAGTATATAGACTGGCTTAGCTGGTGAGGAGTTGATTTGGGTCTGATCTGGCTACCATTTTTAACTAATAAAATAGAATTTTGAAATCACTATGACATATTTTTTCTTTTTTGTATTCTAGATACCAAAATAATTTCCCTTTCTCACCTTGAGATGACCTGGTCTAATAGAGAGAGTTTTCCTGCATTGCTTGTGAGAATTTTGCATAAATCAAAACTGCAATACTATGGAAAACCCAATAAAAAGATGATCGAGCCATACCAGGTATGAATAGTGATAAGATGTTATATGTTAATTTGTCAATCATAAACTATAACTTGCAGACCTGATATATTCATTAGGATAATTTATATTTAAATAAAATGTTAAAAGTTCAACTTAGTAATGTAAATAATGAACATAAGTATATATTTCAGGGTATTTTTCTGTATAGTTTTCTTATACAAAAAGGAATTATTTCTGTATTAGTGCTCTTTAGTTCCCTTGATTCAGCTAGTCTCCTTCACACCTTTTTCTGTATCTTCAACATTTTCCTTTTTTACTGAGATTTCTATACCAGCATATAAATATTAGTAATAGTAATATATAGTCTGTGTGGGCATGCTCAGTTGCTTCAGTTGTGTCCAACTCTTTGCAACCCCATGAACTGTAGTCCTCTGTCCATGAAATTTTCCCGGTAAGAATACTGGAATGGGTTGTCATGCCTTCCTCCAGGAGATCTTCTTGACCCAGGGATCAAACCTGTGTCACCTGCATCTCCTACATTGCAGGCAGATTCTTTACCACTGAGCCACCATGGAAGCCCAGATATATAGTCTAGTCTTCCATTTTAAAAAAGGAAAAAAAAAATCATTGACATCAGGACGCCTGTATTCTCTCTCTCCTTCAGGCAAGCTCCTTGAAGAAGTAGTCTACACTAGTTCTTTTCACTGTCTTTCCTCGTGTTTACTTATCAACACAATTAATTGGGCTCTTTTCTTCAGCTGGTCACTCACTATAGAGACCTTAATTATCAAATCTGACACTTTTCTGTTATCTTGACTCTGTGCACATGATGCTGATTCCTGTCCCATTTTTTTTAAACTTAACATTTTACTGTATTTCCACATTATCAAAAATTATTTTGAGTGCTTTGCTAAGCTTTTGTAATAAAAGTTATACATACTTCTAGGGAATTTGCAAAGTGTATAAAGATATATAAAGCTGATAAATAATATCAACCCAAATCCTACCACTCAGTGAGAATCACTGTTAATATTAGTGTGTTTTATTTCCCTGTTTTGTATGTATAGATCATATATATACATACATGTATGTATCTCTCATATATGCATGTCTGTGATAGCATATGTATGTCATATATACCACATCTATGTGTATATGTATTCCTATCATGTATTTGTTGTCATTTAGTTACCAAATCATGTCCAAATCTTTGCGATCCCATGAACTATGGCCTGCCAGGCTCCTCTGTCCATGGGATTTCCTAGGCAAGAATACTGGAGTGTGTTGCCATTTCCTTCACCAGGGGATATTCACGACCCAGGGATCAAACCCATGTCTCCTGCATTGGCAGGTAGATTCTTTATCGCTGAGCCACTAAGGGAAGTCCCCTATCATATATTGCATATAACTATGTCATATATCATAGTAAATTTTCTTACAAAATGGGAATCATAGTATATATAATATTTTGTATCATTTAACATTTTTTTAGGTATTTTCTCACATTACTAAAAGTTCTTCATTCATAACTTTTCATCATTACAGAGTCTCTCATATTACATCATAAATTACTCAGTGGATCTCCTGTAATTTTGCTTCCTCATTCTTTTTTTTTCTCATTCTTAAAAAATAAAATTTGAACACCATGTAGGTAAAAGTAACAAACATGCATTTATTAAGTAAAATATGCTTTTACTCTTTTTTTTTTTTCCTAGACCTTTTTGGAAGTTGCTGACAGCTCAGGCACAGTGTCCGTGATTATGTGGAATACCCTGTGTCCTGAGTGGTACAAAAGTCTGCATGTTGGTTTAGTTCTTCTGCTTCAAGATTATTCTGTTAAAAAGAGTTATCCATTCAGGATGCAGCCTCTTCCTGTGGATCCACAGATCAAACTAATTTCTACAATGGGTTAAGTATTCAGTGACTTTGTTATTTTATCAGTATTTTGTTTGTATAAATTTGCAAAGTACCATGTCAAAAGTGAAAAGACCTTAAAAGTTACTGAAGCTGTTAGAATCTGACAAACCTTTAAATTCTTTTATCCATAAAAAAATTTGAGCAATCACTTAATAAGTATATTTATTCATTTGTTAAGGAGAAGCATCTGAGATATTTATTACTGATTAATGAATGAGTGCCACTTTGGATTTACTTATTTTTCTTTTCTTTCATTTTTTTGTATTAAAATACTAAATTAGTGACTTGAATATAGGTTTTGTTATTTCAAGGTGCCATTTCAAAGGGCTTTTGTCAACATTCTATTTTGAAATAATTTCAAACTTAAACAGAAGTTGAAAGAATAGTATAAAGGACTCCTGTATACCCTTCACACAGATTCAGCACTTGGCAACATTTACTTTATCATTTCTCCACTATAGATAGATAGATCTCACCTCTGAACCATTTGAGAGTAAGTGGCAGCCATCATATATACATATCCCTTTACCTCTAAACACTTCGGTGATGTTTTACTCTCTATTTCCTCAGAACAAGAACATTCTATTACACAGTCACCATATAGTTGTCAAAACTAAGAAATTTAAAGTTGATATAATAATGTTATATAACTTATGATCAGTGTATTCAAATGTTGCCAATTATTGTAATCTTGAAAGGACTCTTCCTAATTAGTATTGAAATCACAGTATTGATATCTTGGCATCATCCTTACTATTTAGGGAACATTAGAATTAATATATTAAGTGATTGCTTAAGGTGTAGATATGACTTCTTTGATTTTCCACTTTTCAAAATTGTAGAACATATCAGTCAACAGTTTTAAGCACTGTTTTTGGTTTGTCATAGTTTTATACTGGACTTGCATCTCTATGTATTCTGAACTCCCTAGCTGACCTATTAAGATTATTCTTTTTTAATTTATTTATTTATTTTTTTATCACAACCATAGTGTATCTTTTTTTTTTTTTTTTTACATGTATTCCCCATCCCGGTCCCCCCTCCCACCTCCCTCTCCACCCAATCCCTCTGGGTCTTCCCAGTGCACCAGGCCCGAGCACTTGTCTCATGCACCCAACCTGGGCTGGTGAACTGTTTCACCCTAGATAATATACGTGTTTCAATGCTGTTCTCTTGAAACATCCCACCCTCGCCTTCTCCCAGAGTCCACAAGTCTGTTCTATACATAGGAGTCTCTTTTTCTGTTTTGCACATAGGGTTATCGTTACCATTTTTCTAAATTCCATATATATGTGTTAGTATACTGTAATGGTCTTTATCTTTCTGGCTTACTTCGCTCTGTATAATGGGCTCCAGTTTCATCCATCTCATTAGAACTGATTCAAATGAATTCTTTTTAATGGCTGAGTAATATTCCATGGTGTATATGTACCACAGCTTCCTCATCCATTCATCTGCTGATGGGCATCTAGGTTGCTTCCATGTCCTGGCTATTATAAACAGTGCTGCGATGAACATTGGGGTGCACGTGTCTCTTTCAGATCTGGTTTCCTCGGTGTGTATGCCCAGAAGTGGGATTGCTGGGTCATATGGCAGTTCTATTTCCAGCTTTTTAAGAAATCTCCACACTGTTTTCCATAGTGGCTGTACTAATTTGCATTCCCACCAACAGTGTAAGAGGGTTCCCTTTTCTCCACACCCTCTACAGCATTTATTGCTTGTAGACTTTTGGATAGCAGCCATCCTGACTGGCGTGTAATGGTACCTCATTGTGGTTTTGATTTGCATTTCTCTGATAATGAGTGATGTTGAGCATCTTTTCATGTGTTTGTTAGCCATCTGTATGTCTTCCTTGGAGAAATGTCTCTTCAGTTCTTTGGCCCATTTTTTGATTGGGTCATTTATTTTTCTGGAGTTGAGCTGGAGGAGTTGCTTGTATATTTTTGAGATTAATCCTTTGTCTGTTGCTTCGTTTGCTATTATTTTCTCCCAATCTGAGGGCTGTCTTTTCACCTTGCTTATAGTTTCCTTTGTTGTGCAAAAGCTTTTAAGTTTCATTAGGTCCCATTTGTTTATTTTTGCTTTTATTTCTAAAATTCTGGGAGGTGGGTCATAGAGGATCCTGCTGTGATTTATGTCGGAGAGTGTTTTGCCTATGTTCTCCTCTAGGAGTTTTATAGTTTCTGGTCTTACATTTAGATCTTTAATCCATCTTGAGTTTATTTTTGTGTATGGTGTTAGAAAGTGTTCTAGTTTCATTCTTTTACAGGTGGTTGACCAGTTTTCCCAGCACCACTTGTTAAAGAGGTTGTCTTTTTTCCATTGTATATCCTTGCCTCCTTTGTCGAAGATAAGGTGACCATAGGTTCGTGGATTTATCTCTGGGCTTTCTATTCTGTTCCATTGATCTATATTTCTGTCTTTGTGCCAGTACCATACTGTCTTGATGACTGTGGCTTTGTAGTATAGTCTGAAGTCAGGCAGATTGATTCCTCCAGTTCCATTCTTCTTTCTCAGGATTACTTTGGCTATTCGAGGTTTTTTGTATTTCCATACAAATTGTGAAATTATTCGTTCTAGTTCTGTGAAAAATATCGTTGGTAGTTTGATAGGGATTGCATTGAATCTGTAGATTGCTTTGGGTAGTATAGCCATTTTGACAATATTGATTCTTCCAATCCATGAACACGGTATATTTCTCCATCTGTTTGTGTCCTCTTTGATTTCTTTCATCAGTGTTTTATAGTTTTCTATGTATAGGTCTTTTGTTTCTTTAGGTAGATATACTCCTAAGTATTTTATTCTTTTTGTTGCCATGGTGAATGGTATTGTTTCCTTAATTTCTCTTTCTGTTTTCTCATTGTTAGTGTATAGGAATGCAAGAGATTTCTGTGTGTTAATTTTATATCCTGCAACTTTACTGTATTCGTTGATTATCTCTAGTAATTTTCTGGTAGAGTCTTTAGGATTTTCTATGTAGAGGATCATGTCATCTGCAAACAGCGAGAGTTTCACTTCTTCTTTTCCTATCTGGATTCCTTTTACTTCTTTTTCTGCTCTGATTGCTGTGGCCAAAACTTCCAAAACTATGTTGAATAGTAGTGGTGAGAGTGGGCACCCTTGTCTTGTTCCTGATTTCAGGGGAAATGCTTTCAGTTTTTCACCATTGAGGGTGATGCTTGCTGTGGGTTTGTCATATATAGCTTTTATTATGTTGAGGTATGTTCCTTCTATTCCTGCTTTCTGGAGAGTTTTAATCATAAATGGATGTTGAATTTTATCAAAGGCTTTTTCTGCATCTATTGAGATAATCATATGGTTTTTATCTTTCAATTTGTTAATGTGGTGTATTACATTGATTGATTTGCGGATATTAAAGAATCCTTGCATTCCTGGGATAAAGCCCACTTGGTCATGATGTATGATTTTGTTAATATGTTGTTGGATTCTGTTTGCTAGAATTTTGTTAAGGATTTTTGCATCTATGTTCATCAGTGATATTGGCCTGTAGTTTTCTTTTTTTGTGGCATCTTTGTCTGGTTTTGGAATTAGGGTGATGGTGGCCTCATAGAATGAGTTTGGAAGTTTACCTTCTTCTGCAATTTTCTGGAAGAGTTTGAGTAAGATAGGTGTTAGCTCTTCTCTAAATTTTTGGTAGAATTCAGCTGTGAAGCCATCTGGTCCTGGGCTTTTGTTTGCTGGAAGGTTTCTGATTACAGTTTCGATTTCCTTGCTTGTGATGGGTTTGTTAAGATCTTCTATTTCTTCCTGGTTCAGTTTTGGAAAGTTATACTTCTCTAAGAACTTGTCCATTTCTTCCAAGTTGTCCATTTTATTGGCATAGAGCTGCTGGTAGTAGTCTCTTATGATCCTTTGTATTTCAGTGTTGTCTGTTGTGATCTCTCCATTTTCGTTTCTAATTTTGTTAATTTGGTTCTTCTCCCTTTGTTTCTTAATGAGTCTTGCTAATGGTTTGTCAATTTTGTTTATTTTTTCAAAAAACCAGCTTTTAGCTTTGTTAATTTTTACTATGATCTCTTTAGTTTCTTTTGCATTTATTTCTGCCCTGATTTTTAAGATTTCTTTCCTTCTACTAACCCTGGGGTTCTTCATTTCTTCCTCCTCTAGTTGCTTTAGGTGTAGAGTTAGGTTATTTATTTGACTTTTTTCTTGTTTCTTGAGGTAGGCCTGTAATGCTATGAATCTTCCCCTTAGCATTGCCTTTACAGTGTCCCATAGGTTTTGGGTTGTTGTGTTTTCATTTTCATTCATTTCTATGCATATTTTGATTTCTTTTTTGATTTCTTCTATGATTTGTTGGTTATTCAGAAGCGTGTTGTTTAGCCTCCATATGTTTGAATTTTTAATAATTTTTTTCCTGTAATTAAGATCTAATCTTACTGCACTGTGGTCAGAAAAGATGACTGGAATGATTTCAATCTTTTTGAAATTACCAAGACTAGATTTATGGCCCAGGATGTGATCTATTCTGGAGAAGGTTCCGTGTGCACTTGAGAAAAAGGTGAAGTTGATTGTTTTGGGGTGAAACGTCCTATAGATGTCAATTAGGTCTAGCTGGTCCATTGTGTCCTTTAAAGTTTGTGCTTCCTTGTTCATTTTCTGTTTAGTTGATCTATCCATAGTTGTGAGTGGCGTATTAAAGTCTCCTACTATTATTGTGTTGCTATTAATTTCCTCTTTCATACTCGTTAGCGTTTGCCTTACATATTGCGGTGCTCCTATGTTGGGTGCATATATATTTATAATTGTTATATCTTCTTCTTGGATTGATCCTTTGATCATTATGTAGTGTCCATCTTTGTCTCTTTTCACAGCCTTTATTTGAAAGTCTATTTTATCTGATATGAGTATTGCGACTCCTGCTTTCTTTTGGTCTCCGTTTGCGTGGAATATTTTTTTCCAGCCCTTCACTTTTAGTCTGTATGTGTCCCTTGCTTTGAGGTGGGTCTCTTGTAGACAGCATATATAGG